CACAAAAAAAAAAAAAAAAAAAAAATCTTTATCAGCCCCAAAAACATTCAGGTAAATAAGTTAAATAAAAATGAAATCTAGCTATCAGGAATGGGATGCACACATGCTGCAGATCGTTACCTGGTCGAAATAGATTATCCTAGTTTTGTTGCTCATCTCAGATGGCTCATGGTTGGTACTCCTCACCGCAGAGAAGGCAACCTTGGAGTTAGCTGCCCTGACTGATATCCCTAGAGGAGATGAGGAGGATCCCTTGTTGTCGGTGGCCGGGTTGGAATCGCACACCACCAGGCATTTGCCCTCCAGGACGATGGGCTCGGTGTCGTTCTGGGCTAGGCAAGGCGAAGAGCCGAAGAAGAGAGCGCAGCACAGAGGGATTAGCACCTTGGACAGCTCCGCATAGGAGCGCACTGCTTTCAGCACCACCATGGTGTAAGCTCTGACACCTTTTTTTCTTTCCAAAAAAAAAAAAAAGTGCCTCCAACACAAAAAAAAGTCTTCCAGGCTTTGTGTCCCGTCCACTTCCAAGAAAGCGCACTAGTCTCCTTAATCCTGGATCTGTCTCCCCAAACTATGCATCCAAAAAGGCACCAAAAAAAGTGAATTATTGATGAGAAGGCTCATGCAGCAGCGGCGATGCCATGGTTGTGTGCCCCCCTCTTTTCTCTATCAGATCATCCTGAGCCGGAGTGTGGATGTGTATTGATTCCAGAGGTAGCCTCGTCTCTGTGCTGCCAGCAGCTCACATCCTGCGTCTGTTTTCATGGCAATGCCTGCTCCATGCTCCAATTCCCCAAAGCCCTATGTCATAATAGACTTAGCACAGCCCTCAGCCCGCTCCGCTCCTACAGGCTCTGTACATAGGGAGTGGGAGGGAGGGAGGATGCTCGCTGTCTTATAGAGTCATTAGGACCTGGAGCCCTGAGAACTTTAAAACTCAGTTTGGGGGGGAAATATATTGACGTGATCGGCAAACAGGGGAGCCCCGGGGGCAAGTATTACTGAAAGACGTGCAAGTAGCATCAGATACCAATGTATTGTACATAGGGGAGTGACGAATCTGGGGGGCTACAGGGCACTGCATAGCATGTCTGTCTACACTCTCCTCTGTTCTCTCTCTTCCCCTCTCTCTCTTTCTTTCTTTCTTGCTCCCTCCTTCTAATCTTTTTTTTCTCTCTCTCCTACCCTACCTTCTCTCTATTTTCCCATCTTCCCATTATCCTTTTTACTTTCCTTCCTTTCTTTTTCTGTCTTACTTTTCACCTTTCCCTCTATCCCTTTCCCTGCCTCTCTCCCCCTACCTGATTTAATTTTCTTTCTATCTTTTTTCTATCTCTCTCTCTCTCTCTCCTTCCCCCCCATATCTTCTTTCTTTCCTTCCATCTTTCTTACTTTTCACCTATGCCTTTCTCTATGCCTTCCTCTTTCACTCCCTCTGTCCCTCCATCCTCTTTTTTCTTCTTTCCTTTTCTTTCCTTGTCTTCCTCCCTCATTTTTACATTTTTTCTCTCTCTACCTCTCTCTATATCTCTCTCTCCCTCTCTCTACCTGCATTAATTTTCTTTCTCTCTTTTCTTTCTTTCACCCCCTCTGTCCCTTCATCCCCTTTTTATTTTATTTTCTTCCTTCCTTCCTTCCTTTCTACCTTTTTCATTCTTCCTCCTTCATTCTTATTTTTACCTTTCCCTCTCTCCCCTCCCATCTGTCTGTCTGTCTGTCTGTCTGTCTCTCTCTCTCTCTCTCTCTCTCTCTCTCTCTCTCTCTCTCTCCCTCCACCTACATTCATTAATTCATTCATTTTCTTTTTTTCCTCTCTCTACCCCCTCATCTTTCTCTCTTTCTGTCCTTCCATCTCCTTTTTTTATCTTTCTTTTCTCTCTCTCCCTCTCTCTCTCTCTCTCTCTCTCTCTCTCTCTCTCTCTCTCTCTCTCTCCCCCCCCCCCCATATCTTCTTTCTTTCCATCTTTCTTTCTTAATTTTCACTTATGCCTTTCTCTATCTCCTCCTCTTTCACTCCTCTTTTTTCTTCTTTCCTTGTCTTCCTCCCTCATTTTTACATTTTTTTCTCTCTCTCTCACTCTCTCTATATCTCTCTCTCTCCCTCTCTCTACCTACATTAATTTTCTTTCTTTCTTTCTCTCTTTCTTTCACCCCCTCTGTCCCTCCCCTTTTTATTTTATTTTCTTCCTTCCTTCCTTTCTACCTTTTTCATTCTTCTTCATTCTTTAGATCCCATCCTCAAACTGCCTCAAAATATGATCTGAGCATCCGGTAACACTGCAATGATGTGGTGAGACTACAAGGCCCAGCATGGGGAGTCAGCCATAAATAATGCAATTTGCAGAGAGCTGTGTCTGCCCATGTCTGGCTGTCTGGGATTTATAGTTCTAGAAGAGGGTTACAGTTTTCCTTACCTTGTTCTGTACAATAATATCCTTTACAATGGAGTATATAGGGCTGCTCTAGATCAAGCCGCCAGGAAATATAATCCAAATTAAAAGACAGCGATTTATAGCTGAGGAAACCCTGAGCAATAAATCAGGATGTTTTACTGGACGTGTGAAATGAACCTTAGATTTACTGGTGCATAAGTTATTACAGTGCACCCAGTGTATGGGCAGGGAGCAATTTCATTGTCTTGGTGTGTATGACAGATAACTGAAGACATCATTTTATGGCTAAGCTGCAGTGGTAAATTAAAATGGAATGTGTGCCAAAGCATTAAGACTGATTATCTTAATGAAATCTGAAATGGACCAGCACTGACTCACTTTATGTAAAACAATTATCAAGCCTCTCACTCGAAAAACTATTGACAAAGTATCAATGAAGATTAATGATCTGCTACCCAGGTTGCCATCGCCACCTTGTGGCCGCTCGGGGAAAACGCAGGCAGAACTGCAGAGCTGGTTCTTCTATATTCTTCCAGGGAGGCAAAGATAGAAAAATATGGTGTCTGCAGTGTTTAAAGCTGAGCTCCAAACAAACAGCCAGGGCCAGATTATCATAGGGGCGGGTGGAGCTCCTGCTCCAGGCCCGCCCCTGCAAATAGGCACGGGTGAGCAGATCTGACCTGGATCACGGACAGGCCGAGCCGTGCTGTCCCAAATCGCGGACCTGCCGAGCTGACATGAATCACAGAGAGCTGCATCTTCTGTGGCTGCAGCCGTCAGTCTCACTGACTGCCTGGAGCCCGCACTGACCGCCTGAAGCCCGCACTTGGCACCTGGAGCCTGCAATAACCACCAGGAGCCCGCACTGGCCACCTGGAGCCCGCACTGACCACCTGGAGCCTGCACTGACCACCTGGAGCCTGCACTGACCACCTGGAGCCCGCACTTACCACCTGAAGCCCACATTAACCACCTGGAGCCTGCACTTGCCACCTGGAGCCCGCACTAACCACCTGGAGCCCATAGATCCCATCCTCAAACTGCCTCAAAATATGATCTGAGCATCCGGTAACACTGCAATGATGTGGTGAGACTACAAGGCCCAGCATGGGGAGTCAGCCATAAATAATGCAATTTGCAGAGAGCTGTGTCTGCCCATGTCTGGCTGTCTGGGATTTATAGTTCTAGAAGAGGGTTACAGTTTTCCTTACCTTGTTCTGTACAATAATATCCTTTACAATGGAGTATATAGGGCTGCTCTAGATCAAGCCGCCAGGAAATATAATCCAAATTAAAAGACAGCGATTTATAGCTGAGGAAACCCTGAGCAATAAATCAGGATGTTTTACTGGACGTGTGAAATGAACCTTAGATTTACTGGTGCATAAGTTATTACAGTGCACCCAGTGTATGGGCAGGGAGCAATTTCATTGTCTTGGTGTGTATGACAGATAACTGAAGACATCATTTTATGGCTAAGCTGCAGTGGTAAATTAAAATGGAATGTGTGCCAAAGCATTAAGACTGATTATCTTAATGAAATCTGAAATGGACCAGCACTGACTCACTTTATGTAAAACAATTATCAAGCCTCTCACTCGAAAAACTATTGACAAAGTATCAATGAAGATTAATGATCTGCTACCCAGGTTGCCATCGCCACCTTGTGGCCGCTCGGGGAAAACGCAGGCAGAACTGCAGAGCTGGTTCTTCTATATTCTTCCAGGGAGGCAAAGATAGAAAAATATGGTGTCTGCAGTGTTTAAAGCTGAGCTCCAAACAAACAGCCAGGGCCAGATTATCATAGGGGCGGGTGGAGCTCCTGCTCCAGGCCCGCCCCTGCAAATAGGCACGGGTGAGCAGATCTGACCTGGATCACGGACAGGCCGAGCCGTGCTGTCCCAAATCGCGGACCTGCCGAGCTGACATGAATCACAGAGAGCTGCATCTTCTGTGGCTGCAGCCGTCAGTCTCACTGACTGCCTGGAGCCCGCACTGACCGCCTGAAGCCCGCACTTGGCACCTGGAGCCTGCAATAACCACCAGGAGCCCGCACTGGCCACCTGGAGCCCGCACTGACCACCTGGAGCCTGCACTGACCACCTGGAGCCTGCACTGACCACCTGGAGCCCGCACTTACCACCTGAAGCCCACATTAACCACCTGGAGCCTGCACTTGCCACCTGGAGCCCGCACTAACCACCTGGAGCCCATAATGACCACCTGGAGCCCATACTGACCACCTGGAGCCCATACTGACCACATGGAGCCCACACTGACTGCCTGGAGCCTGCACTGAGCAACTGGAGCCCGCACTAACCACCTGGAGCCTGCACTAACCACCTGGAGCCCATGCTGACTGCCTGGAGCCCGCACTGACCACTTGGAGCCCGCACTTCCCACCTGGAGTCTGCACTTATCACCTGGAGCCTGCACTTATCACCTGGAGCCTGCACTTCCCACCTGGAGCCTCCACTTATCACCTGGAGCCTGCACTTATCACCTGGAGCCTGCACTTCCCACCTGGAGCCTGCACTTATCACCTGGAGCCTGCACTTCCCACCTGGAGCCTGCACTTATCACCTGGAGCTCGCACTGACCACCTGGAGCCTGCACTGGCCACCTGGAGCCTGCACTAACCACCTGAGGCCCACACTGAGCACCTGAGAGCCTGTATTGACCACCTGGAGGCAGCACTGACCAACTGTAGCCCACACTAACCACCTGGAGCCCGCACTGACAACCTGGAGCCTGCACTGACAACCTGGAGCCTGCACTGACAACCTGGAGCCTGCACTGACAACCTGGAGCCTGCACTGACCACATGGAGCCTGCACTGACCACATGGAGCCCGTACTAACCACCTGAGAGCCCGTACTGACCATCTGAGAGCCTGTACTGACCACATGGAGCCTGCACTGACCACATGGAGCCCGTACTGACCACCTGAGAGCCCGTACTGACCACCTGGAGCCTGCACTGACCACCTGAGAGCTCGTATTAACTACCTCTCAGAGAGATCTCAGGACTCCTCCT